AGCGAGGCCTGAGCACTTCCCAGCCGTCAGGCCCGCCGATCTCCCCCGCGCCCCGAGGCACCGGCAGCGAGGCCTGAGCGGCTTCCAGCTGCCGGGCCTGCCGACTCCCCCCCTCCCCGGGCACTGGTACCAAGGCCTGAGTGCCTCCCAGCCGCCGGGCCCACCGCAGAGTTCCCAGAGCATCCTCTGCACATGCGCAGGGAACGCTCTTTTACTTTTGGGGGGATTTAAATATCTCCCGTACAGTTTAAAAAACTTTTTAGATTTTTCTGCACACCTGGCGACTGCTCCAAGTGTGCAGGAAAATCTCTCTGCCCCCCCCCCCAAGTGCCCCCGATGTGTGGATTTAGATATCCGCATGGAGGGGTCAACTTGGCTATTAGAGATATAGATTGAAGTCCCTCGCCAAGCCCTGCTCTCCTCAGGCTCCACCTCTAGGTATTTCTCAACCCAGAGCGGCAGCCCTCCATGTACAGAGTACACATTAGTAGTACCAGGGCTTTTTTGGTAGAAAAAGCCCAGCAGGAACTCATTAGCATAATAGGCCACACCCGACAGCAGAAACTCATTAGCATATTAGGCCACTCAATGCCTTCCCTTGGCTTGCCCGGGCGCCCCGCTGCTGTGGGGAGCCCGGGCAAGCTGGCCCTTGGACAGGCCGGGGAAGGCACAGGGAGGCATTTAAATGCCTCCCCGATCCTTCCAGGGGGCCCCTGGCCCACCCGCCTCGGAGTCACTGGGGGGGTCACTCTCCAGGCCTTCCCTCCGTAGCCAGGCACGCACAGAGGTTTTGGCTGTAGTGGGCGTGGCCAACTCTGAAGCCAGCCGGAACTCCGTTCCTGTGCGTTCCTGCCCAAAAATAGCCCTGAGTAGTACTACTAGTCTGGCTGGCCTGGAAAACAGGACTGAACCCCAGGTCAGATTTACTTTGAAATACCTCAAGGTGAAGTGTTATTATTAATATTGTGTTTGTAGTTGCGATTATCTGTATCTGCCAAATTTGAGAGGACTCTCCTGGCTAAACCTCATCTGTTTCTGAGCCCTGTTCAAAATGCTGCTTTCAACCACAACATTGTCTGGGCCCAGTTCACCTCAATACACCACCTCCTCCCACATCAGCCCGCGTCTAAAATCCTCCCCAGAAGGCCCTGCTCCGTATTCCTCTGAAGTAGGACACACACACAGCTAGAGAGCATGGTGCTTCCTTCAGAGTGGCACCAAGGTTTGGAAACTCCCAGCCTCAGTCTGGAGGCCTGTTTCGCTCCACCGCTTTCTGCTTTTAAGAGCTGAGTTTCCATGATTTCTTCTGCAGCGACAGAAACAATCCTGTTTGCTGCTTTAGCACACTGTGGTAACGTATAAGCACAGTGGCAGTTCTGGCCCCTTGTCTCTGGAATGCTTTCCCCCAGCGGCCTAGGGATGCCAGCCTCCAGGTGGGACCTGGGGATTATCTCCAAGCTCATCTCCAAGCTTTGGAGGGACCTACTGAGGTCCGTGTCCTCCCCAGGCTCCATCCCGAAATCTCCGGGAGTTTCCCAACCTGGATCTGGCAAACCTGGCCCCCGATTCCCCTATTGGTGGCCAGGGGCGGCCTGGCAACCCCACCCTCAGTCATTCCCCTGCGGCCCAGTGAAAACTTTATTGAGATGGGGCTTTTAGTGGGACATTGAATTATTTGCTGTATTTTTCCTGTTTTTAGCTAAACCGTGATTTGGTTTGGGTCAGACCCACTGAATGCAACAAGACCTTTCGTCTGCAAACACTTTAAAGATCAGGGCCTTATATATATGTGTGAAAGTATATATGTAGAGGGCGGCAAGTTACATAGGAGATAAGTGTGCTTGGGGGAGAAGCATTGGGAATGACCCGAGGAGGAGAAACGGAACCGTGAATGGCTGCCCTTCATGGGAGATGAAAGGCCAAAGCTGGTCTCGTGTCTGTCACTATTTTTACCTTGCTCTCCCTCCGAGAAGTTCAAGCGGCACGTGTTGTTCTTCCTGTCTCCATTTGAGCCTCCCAGTATTTGGCTTGATGCCTGTGATCTATTTTGTGTGTGTGTGTGTGTCTTGTTTTGAATGTGTTTGGCTTTTGGGGGCATTGCTGTTTTGGAGTAGAGTGTCAGACCCCCACAGCATCAATGAAGTACACACTTGCAGAAAGGTTTTACTTTATTTGAAGCTATAGGTGCATAGACAGGATCACTGTTCGGAATGAGGGGGGAGCAAAGAGCATGGCATGTTATAGTGCATTCAAACCACTGAGGCCCAATTGCGGGAGTTCCCGCGCGCGCCATCGGGCCTGGGAGCAAACGCTTCTAGGCAGCATACGTTATCTCCTTCCCACGGTGTTTCGTGAGATCACCCAAGCAACTATCTAGCAGCGGCGACCACCTGTGGCCTTGAGAGATATAGATGTTTCGGCAGCTAAGCAATTAAGCGCATCAACAGGTCTACATATGAAAGTGAAAGCAATCAAGCGCATACAAGAAGAAGAAAACAAAACTGGCAGCTTGCTGACATACTGCCCCCTACTAAGGTGAAAGGCAGGAGAGAACATTTTTATAAACAAACACCAGTCCTGCGAGGTAGGTTAGGCTGAGAGCGAGAAACCAGCCTGAGGTCACCCAGGAAGCTTCATGGATGAGGGGAGATTTGAACTCTAGGATGAAATGTCAACCGCTGCATCCCATTGGCTTTCTCTGAGGGTGGCGGGAAGTGGCGTCAAGTCGCAGCCAATTTATGGCAACCCCGTAGGCTTTTCAAGGCAAGAGACAAATGCCTTCCTCTTATGGTTGCCAAGTTCTACCTTCGTAATAGCAGGGGAGTCCTGCGTCCCGTCCGGTAGTTCTTTCGTGTGCGCGAAGTGCGCGCACCCCACAATGACGTCACCCAGAAGTGACGTCATCACGCTGGGCACATTGCTGGGTGACGCTCTAGCAATCAGCCTAAAAACTCTATGGTACCATAGAGTTTTCAGGCTGATTGCTAGAGTGTCACCCGACGATGTGCCCATCATGATGACTTCACTTCCGGGTGACATCATCGTGCCAGGCACATCGGCCCAATCTGGCCACTTTGGGGGTGGAGTTCCCCCCGCCAGCCGGATCTGGACCAACGGGTTGGGGGCCCTTTTGGCGGGAAAACCTCCATCCCCCTCGGGGGACCTGGCAGCCCTTCTTCCTCTGGGTAGCAACCCTGGCAGTCTCCCATCCAAAGACTAACCAGGGCCAACCCTGCTTAGCTTCCAAGATCTGATGGCCTACCAAGCTACTGAATCTGCAGAGATTTATCTGCCAGTTGTCAAGATTTCCCCTCCTAAATAACATTCACGTCTCTCTTCCTTTCCAGGGTCAGGTGTGAAGAAGACAGAAATTCTGGGCTTGATCCCCCCCCCCCCCCGAGGAAAGCTGGATTTGCTTGTTGCGGCTGAACAAGAAATGTACTGTTTTGAAAATCTGCGTCGAAAGATCCGTTTGTCCATTCCCAGCACCTCTGGCATCTCCCTCTCTGGGCTGCCGTGGTACGTTTGGCCCAGTGATGCAGAACTTCTCCTTTAGCATCTCCTTGAACTATAGCTTCCTTCACAAGTAGGCTGAATGGTTCTAATCGCTCTCAACCTTGGACCCCTTTGGATGACATTTTTCCTGTGCGGGACCTGAGACTCCTGTTTTGCTGCACCCTGCCTGGATGTGGGCTCTTTTGTACAGGTGTTTATTCTTGAAACAGTCCGTTTGGACGTCTGAAACCCCTGGTTTGGATGGGTTATTTGAACAGTCTCTTAGCAGTGTGTGTGTGGGGGGGTGTCTGTCCTGTTTATGTTTCCTTGGACGCCAAGAAGAGAAAGAGCCAGTGCCTTCTTAATAAGCCAGCTGGGAGTTCTCAGGATCACCTCTTGTGTCCCAGAAATTGTGGTTCCAGACGAGTTCCTCCAAGCCAATGGAGCAAAAATACGACTTTCCCTGAACCATTTTCACTTCACATTCTGTCTGGGTCTAGCCTGGAGTCACTGTGCTAGGCCTTGATTATATTTTATTTAACTGAACCGAGAAAATTAAAGTGCGGATTAAACATGAGCTCTTATTTAAATTCACAGAAGAATGTGTTTACTGCAAGTCGTGCTCTCCTCTCTAACATTACGATTGCCAGCTGAAGGACTTTGTGTCCCCTTAACTGCTGCTACGTGACGTTTCACGGCATTCTTTGTGTAAAAAAAAAAAGCATGCAGAGCTGAGTTTCTGCTTGTGACACAACTACAAAAGGCACAGGAACTGTCATGGGGAGGTGGCAACTTTGTATTTTGGGTGCAAATACATCGGGGGGGGGGGCTCTCCTGAACCTGGGACCATTCCACGGTGGGTTCTGAGGGCCAGGAACTCAGCACTTTAAAAAAGTTGTGACCAGAAAATTTCCAATGGTGCAATCACAATAAATTCAACAAATAGTCTTCAATTTTTAATTCATTTGCACATTTCTTTCAGTTGCCTGTGTTTCTTCAAATATTTTTTTTTTTTTAGGCGAAGGGATGGAGGTATAAGATTTGTATGACGGGGCAGTGAGCTGTAGGTTTGCTGAAGGCGGTGCTAAGTGGAGGATCCGCACTCGAGTCACACTTCCTCAGAGATCTGTTTTGTTGTTTACGGGCTGCCACAGGTCCTCCTTGGGAAATGCTTGGGATGCGGAAATGGTACGTCTAGGAGACTTCAGTGTTATTAATATGCAGGGGTCATTTAGTAGAAAAAGAGGTGCAGGAGCTCATTAGCGTAACTCATTAGCATAATTTATTTGCATATGCCACACCCCCTGACATCACCGGAAGTGTGTCAGAAGGCAACACCCACCGCTCAGGCTCCACTGGACTGTTTTGGATTGTTAGCTATTGGGGGAGGGGGGGAATGTGCAGATCTGTCCTCGCAGAGGAGGGAGAGCTTTTACCTGAATAAAACTTGGTCTTAAAGGTGCCAATGGACTGTTTTGGACTGGGGGGCCGGGGGTAGCTCTGCAACTTACCTGGCTGCTTCTTGCTCTGACTGAGGGCTGCTGGGAGCAGGGGATGGGGCTTGTTGCATGTGCCCGCCCTCTGAGCTCTTTACTGCCGGAGCTCTGCTCCTGTGCGCTCCTGCAGGAAATGACCCCTGTTAATATGTCTGTCTTAGAGAACCTGGGGCAGAGGATTTTTCCCAGGTTCGCTGCTGATGGAGTAATTTGGTGCTACCAGGGATTATGAGAAGACAAGAGTCACTGGAACAAGACAACCATGCTAGGAAAGGTTGAAGGCAGCAGAAAAAGAGGAAGACCCAGCATGAGAGGGACTGACTCTATAAAGGAAGCCCCGGCCCTCAGTTTGCAAGACCTGAGCCAGGCTGTGAACAAGAGGATGTTTTGGAGGCCTTTAATTCGAAGGGTCAGAATCACCTTGACAGCATTTCACACACACACACACGGGACTGAACCTGGATTCTGCAAAGGCTGTTTGGAACTGTGGTGGTACGGGCCTGGCCCATTTTAGCAGGAGCTGTCTTGACTCCACACGGTCTAGAAACTTACTCTCTTAAAATGAAACCTCAGCTTTGGCAGTTATGAATCTGTATGTCACCCCAACAGTTTGGGTCTGCATAATACTGTTAAGCCCTTGCAAAAAAAATAATTAAATCTTGTTTTTAAAAGCTGCTTTAAAGAACTCAGCATGTGACCTCCTCTCCCTGGTAAAAGCCTCCTGAAAGGGCTAATGCACCTGTTAGCCGAGATCCTTTTAACTGGAGATGCTGGGGATTGAAACTGGGACTTTCTTGTAGGCAAAGCGAGGTGCCTGTCTTAGAGAACCTGGGGCAGAGGATTTTTCCCAGGTTCGCTGCTGATGGAGTAATTTGGTGCTACCAGGGATTATGAGAAGACAAGAGTCACTGGAACAAGACAACCATGCTAGGAAAGGTTGAAGGCAGCAGAAAAAGAGGAAGACCCAGCATGAGATGGACTGACTCTATAAAGGAAGCCCCGGCCCTCAGTTTGCAAGACCTGAGCCAGGCTGTGAACAAGAGGATGTTTTGGAGGCCTTTAATTCGAAGGGTCAGAATCACCTTGACAGCATTTCACACACACACACACACGGGACTGAACCTGGATTCTGCAAAGGCTGTTTGGAACTGTGGTGGTACGGGCCTGGCCCATTTTAGCAGGAGCTGTCTTGACTCCACACGGTCTAGTAGAAACTTACTCTCTTAAAATGAAACCTCAGCTTTGGCAGTTATGAATCTGTATGTCACCCCAACAGTTTGGGTCTGCATAATACTGTTAAGCCCTTGCAAAAAAATAATAATTAAATCTTGTTTTTAAAAGCTGCTTTAAAGAACTCAGCATGTGACCTCCTCTCCCTGGTAAAAGCCTCCTGAAAGGGCTAATGCACCTGTTAGCCGAGATCCTTTTAACTGGAGATGCTGGGGATCGAAACTGGGACTTTCTTGTAGGCAAAGCGAGGTGCTCTACCAGTGAGCCTTAGTCCCTGCAGGGATGATTATTTAATGATTGATTAAACTTAGCTTGTGCAGAACAGCAGGGGGAACAAAAAAAAACAGGTGTGAGAAGTAAGATTCTCTGGTCTAGACTTAAAGGAATGCACAAATAAGAAATTTCCTCCAGACAATCTACTCCTGGTGCTGCCGCTCAAGAGCAATATCTGCAGCGGGTCAGATGTCCCTCTTAAAGTTACAGGAGCCTCCATCAGATCGTGTATCTGGTTACCCTAGAAGAAAAAGAGGAGCTCATTTCAAATGGTTGAGCGAGAGGTGGTAAATGAATGTACAGAATGTACAGTTTGGTGTAGTGGTTAAGTGTGCGGGCTCTAATCTGGGGAGAACTGGGTTTGATTCCCCACTCCTCCACTTGCACCTGCTGGATGACCTTGGGCGAGCTGTAGTTCTGATAAGAGCTGTTCTCGAAAAAGAGCAGTTTCTGTCAGAGCTCTCTCAGCCCCACCTACCTCACAGGGTGTCTGTTCTGGGGAGGGGAGGGGAAGGGAAAGGAGTTTGTAAGCCGCTCTGAGACTCCTTTGGGTAGTGAAGGGCGGGGTATAAATCCAATCTCTTCCTCCTCCTCCTCCAGGGAACCACGGTGATGTTGGCTGTGTCACTGGCAGACTGCCGGTAAGGATTCGTGTGATTAGAACGCTTTTCAGTGCAACAGCAGCCACTTTCCATAGAGAAAAGCATGTCAGTCGAAGCAAATGGTCTCTGAGGCAGGTGCCTGGCCCTTTAAGCTTCCATTCCAGAAGCACACGCCCCTTTTCCTCTGTTGCTATGTACATCTTCACCCTAGATACGCCGCATCCGTTCTGACTCTTAAAGGGCTCTGCTCTCTCCTGCCCTTCCCCATCCCAGCCTCTGGACTCCTGGCTTGGCTGCGATGGCCCCGAAGAAGAAAGGGCGCAAGAAAGAGGAGACCCCAAAAGAGCCAGAGGTGGACGATGATATTGTGCCTGAGCACAGCCGAGAGTTTTACCTGATTCAGATCCGGGATCTGGAGGGAAGGCTGGCCCGGTAGGTAGAGGACTGGGGGTTGGGATGCCAGAGGAACGGTGTGCTCTAGAGAGGTGTGCAGCGGAAACATTACGCCACAGAGAAAGAGTTCATAGTAAGCACTTCTATCAAACTTTGCATTCGCTGCCTGTAGGGGTGTATCGGCAGCATCTCTTTTCCCTGGAGGCTTTGCAGAATGTGCACCCAGGCCTTTCTGCCCTCCTAAGGGTCTACAAACGCTACTCACAAAACATTCATAATAAAAACCGTATCTTAAAAAAAAAATTAAAACCAACAAAAACACATCATTAGGTGCAGGGGTCATTTCGTAGAAAAAGGTGCAGGAGCTCATTAGCATGACTCATTTGCATATGCCACACCCCCTGACATCACCGGAAGTGTGTCAGAAGGCAACACCCACCGCTCAGGCTCCACTGGGCTGTTTTGGATTGCTAGCTATTGGGGGGGGGGGAATGTGCAGATCTGTCCTCGCAGAGGAGGGAGAGCTTGTACCTGAATAAGACTTGGTCTTAAAGGTGCCGCTGGACTGTTTTGGACCGGGGGGAGGGGCTCTGCAGCTTACCTGGCTGCTTCTTGCTCTGACTGAGGGCTGCTGGGAGCAGGGGGTGGGACTTGTTGCATGTGCCCGCCCCCTGGGCTCTTTACTGCTGGAGCTCCGCTCCTGTGCGCTCCTGCAGGAAATTACCCCTATCAGGTGCACTTAATAGGCGCATTCACAAGTTCTAACTATCTCACTTCCCAGCTTGGATCTTCCCTTTCTTCCCTGCCACTGTCATTTGAGGCCAGTAGGCCTGATGGGAATAATAAATTCCAGGGTAAAATTAACACCGCTCCAGTTTTAGAGAACACTGCTCTATGGAACTGTGCTCCCAAATGCTCAGAAATAACGTTCAGGCTCAGGCCTTCACTTCTGCATCACCTAAGCAGTAAAGGGATACAGTCTCGTTTGTTGTGCTGGCTTAATGTCCGGCTTGTCTCAATGCAGCTTGGCTTACTCACTGGAGCCTCCTAAACTGTGCACACCTGTCTTGGTTGGAGCCTTCGACTTGCAGAAATGGGGAGGGGTTTTTTTGAGCCTGGAGCTTTTTGCATTGCATTTGAGTTGGTCGGGAGAGAGCTTTGAGGGCAAAACTCTACTAGATACTTAGCACAGCTCCAGTTACTGTGACCTGGATAGACCAAGCTAGCCTAGCTAGCCTAATCTCATCATATCTCCAATGCTAAGTAGGGTCAGCCCTGGTCAGTACTTGGGTGGGAGACCACCACAGAAGTCCAGGGTTGCTATGCAGAGGCAGGCAATGGCCAACCACCTCTGTTCCTCTCTTGCCTCGAAGGCTCTCTGGGGGCCCCATAAGTTGGCTGCAGCTTGACGGCACTTTCCACTCCCACAACATTCCAGTTGCTTGGGCGAAGTATGCAGGAAAAACAACCTCGTTTGGATGGGAGACCACCATGGAAGTCCAGGGTTGCTATGCAGAGGCATGGGATTGCAAACGACCTCTGGACGTCTCTCACCCTGAAAACCTCACAGGGTCGCCATAAGTCGGTTGTGACTTGATGGCGAAAGAAAGAAAAGAAAGAAAGCCTGAATACGGTCTGCTCCCCAGCAATGCACTAAGCAAACAAGGGGAAAAACATGGGGTGCTTCAAGGGGCTTGAGCCCAGTCAACTGTCTTTAGAATGTAATCATTAAAAAAAAAAATGCAGTACACAGGGGCACTTTTTGAATCAGTTTGGTGTAGTGGTTAGGAGCGCGGACTCTAATCTGGGAGAACCGGGTTTGATTCCCCACTTCTTCACATGCAGCTGCTGGTGTGACCTTGGATCAGTTACAAGTTCTCTCAGAGCTGATCTCTCAAGAGCAGTTCTCTCAGAGCTCCCTCAGCCCCACCTACCTCACAGGCAGTGT